CCCCCCCCCCCCCGTTTTATTTCTCAGCCCCCCCCAGCTCAAAATACGTTCCCGCGGCTATGTGTTTGTGTGTTTGTTCAAATTCTCTCTCTGATAAAATAATTTACCCATTAAACTGTGGCATTAAATGCCAATATGAATATCAATATGATGTAATAGAAGAATAATGTACACATATGAATTGCATATGCCAATTATTTTTTTTTTGACTTTTTTTTTCTTTAACTTTGTATTCATCAAATAATCATGAAAAAGTTGAAGTATCACAGTTTCCACAAACATATTAAGTAAAAACAGTTTTCAGTAGGCCTGATAATAAGGAAACCATTAGTAAACTATTAGTAATAGCTTAACTAATAGAAAATAATTACTATTACTAATAATTAGGCAGCAAATCAGCATATTAGAATGATTTCTGAAGGAACATGTGACACTGAAGACTGTAGCAATGATGCTGAAAATTCAGCTGCGCATCACAGGAATAAATTACAGTTTAAAATATCTTTAAAAGAAAATGAATATTTTAAGTGTAATATTTCATATTATTATTTTTATTGTATTTTTGATCAAATAAATTCATCCTTCTTTCAAAAACGAAATAGGCCTAAATAAAAAGTCTTAATTATTTCAAACATTTGATCGTCAGTGTGTATGTAAAATAATGCATGTGAACTAGCAAAATATAGTATTTTTATTAATATATCACTTTCTTAATCACAGTACTTGAAAGCGAAAGTCTTCAGATTTACAATGTTCTAGAGCAGTGTTTCTCAACCCTGGTTCTGGGCGCCCCCCAGCACTGCACATTTTGTGTGTCTCCCTAATCAAACACACCCGATTCAATCATTAGCTCATTAAAAGAAACTCCACGACCAGAAATGGGTGTCAGATAAGGGAGACATACAAAATGTGCAGTGTTGGGGGGCGCTCAGGACCAGGGTTGAGAAACACTGATCTAGAGTAAGTTTGAGAATGATATCTTACTCTTTTTTGTTTTGTTTTGTGAAATTAGAGATTTACAAACATTCACTCTTATCTTATATTGTGACGAATAACGTAAATAGAATTATGGAAATCGAAAAGGCCAGTAGTAGTTTTCACCCCTGAAAATTAATGTCTGTCGTTTAGGATTTTTTTATCATAAACAGTTGGCAAATATTGCTGAATTGTCTTGTCATGTTTAGCTGCTTAAGCTACATCTTGCCTCAGAGTCAGCTCGCATTCAAGTGATGCGCAGCTCAGCTCCGTGAACAGTAAATTCAGGCTATTTTTTAAACATTTGGACATTGACGATCACTTTTAGCCACTGCACTGAGCCAGAGCACACTAAATTAATTAGAATTTTTGACTCAATGGGCCGGTGGAGGAATATAGTCTACGTACACTTACTATAATTCAGTCTTTATATATATCACTTCCTCAGTTCAGAATGACCTGAAATTGCAGGTTGTTATGATGGTTGGCCATTCAAAAAACGCATGTATTCATCTAAGGCCTTTTTGTTAAGTACTGTGACTCAATCACCACAAACTCAGCACACCTGAACATTGATAGGTGTGTAGGAAGAATAGTCCCAACAACACTGTCGAGAAAAAAAAAAAGTGATCCATAGTGGACCGAAACTTAGCTTGTGCTTGTGATAATAAACTTCAATATTTAGCAAGTACTGATAGTGTGCAAGTACTGTGACTCACAAATGGGTTAGCTTCATTTTCTATATTTTTCTTGTCTGTGAGGCAAACACAGTGTTTCGGGTAATTTCTTTTTGTTTTGTTTTGACGTGCTCAAATTCACAGACACCGAGACGGCAGAAAGCGCACACTCTTTGCTTTCATTATTTTACAAAAGCACAAAGTGTTGTTGTTATTGTGAGTGCACACAAATGAAAGTATACCTTTTACAGATTCGAAAAGATGTATTACTCTTATCTGTACGAGCAAAAATGCCGGTGTATTTTAAGTTACCGTATTGACCCGAATATAAGAATGTTTTTTTCTTGGAAATACATCTGAAAAAACGCGGTCGTCTTATATTCAGGGTCTAGACTTTGACATGTCAATAATACACTCACGACAATAGGTGGCGCCAAATACACATAAAACCAGTGTGCCATGACATACATAAATACGTGTTGTAAATGATCGCGACCAAACTTTCTTTGTGATTTTAAAACGTAAGACAGTACCCAGATTTGAAGACTACAGTAAGATTGAACTTCTACTCTTAATAAGATTTTGGTGGGCTACTATTAGATGGATAGCCTAAATGTCCTAATTCAGATTGGCTACCTGTTTTGTTTTTTTTAATGGTATATCAATAAGTGTATCATTTTTAAATGTGATTGTTGGTACAGTTTACCAGTTTTTACCATACTTTCAAAACAAAAATTAAAATAGGAAAAATATGCAATATGAAAATAATTGAAGACAAAATGTGTTTTACTGAGAAAAAACAAGATTTGGTTTTTAAAAAGCCTTTTTCCAAAAGGTACATCTGGAAAAAGGGGGGTCGTCTTATAATCAGGGTCATCTTATATTCGGGCCAATACAGTAAATGCAAATGATCGCACCGGCACCTCCAAGTTAACGGCCATGCAGTGAGCACGCTACTGTTCAGCTTCCACACTGCGCACAAATACTTCAATAGTGCACATTTTTCTAGATTAATGTTACAGTGAGCAGTAATGTTGCTGCTACTTGCATGTTTCAGATGATAAGCCACATTTGAGGTCGATGATCGAATCGAACATTTGGATGTTCTGACCAATGTACTGTAATTACCACATAGACTAGCTGTTAATGATCTGTCCATCACAAATTATGAGACTTAGCCACTTCCTGTGGATTTTTCTGCAGTTAAGCGGCTAATGAAATTTTAATCGACTAAGCCTCTTCTGATCGACTAACGGTTAGTCGACGATTAGGGGGCAATCCTAATATTTAGATAATAAGATTCAGTTGTGTGTCCAAAATTCAGTGATTGTGTTTGAGCAAATCTAGTCCAAGATTGTGACATCTCTGAAGATGACATCCGTTTTAAAGGCGCCCTATTATGCTCTTTTACAAAGTCTTGATTTTGTTTTGGGGGTGTACTAGAACACGACAACTAGTTTGGGCACGAAGGTGAAAAAAACATTGTCGGACGAGAATGTGCAGCGTCACGTCACGCCACGTCTTTAAAATTCAAATACATTATTTTCTATGAGTGTAGGCACACCGGCGGCGCCGTTCGGCGTCTGTCCACGGCGCCCAGCTACGTCGTGTTGTACTTGTAAGAATTGTTCTAGACATGCCGAAAATTTGAAGCTACAGCACAGCACAGAAGCTCTTCTTCTTAGTTTTCTCTGATGCACTAACTCTGCAGCAGCACTTCTTCTTCGTCGTCTAGTCTGATGCTCTCACTCAACCAAGCGTTCTAACCACAACCTCGCCCCTCCCCCAAGCATTCAAATTTCTGTAGGCGGGAATTATTTGTAATGATATTCCAATTAGCCGCTTTGTGATATCACAAAGCCCGGAAAACAAACGCTGTAGTCCAAACGAGCCATTCGTTGTAGTTCTTGAAAAGGGATAAAAAAAAAAAAAGAAGAAATATCTCCCTTTGGAGTGGACTTGGAGATTTGTGACTTTCTAGATCTTTTTTATGCCCAAACATACACACTACACACTGACTAAAATTAAAAAAGTGAAAAAGCATAATAGGACCCCTTTAAAAACAACTCAGCATTTCAGTAGCCGTTGAGCAATACTGGAAAGATTTGCTGTTCTCATGAGCTTTGAGTTTATATAATAGACTAAATAAGCTAATAAATTAATCTAACTTTTTTTTTTTTTTTTACAGTTCCTTCTCCAACAAACGTGAGTGTTGTTTGTCACAATTTTGTGAATGTCCTCTTCTGGAACTACAGTAACCCAACTGAACAGCTGAAATTTGGTGTAAAGGTTGAACCTTATGAAAGGTATGTTGTGTGTCAAACGCAGCTGACCAAGAAAAAAAATACAATTTGAGAAAATGTGATATTACTTAATCTTTCTGTCCCATTTATCTCTAGTGCTTCCCAAACAGTTGACACCTCTCAGACGTACCTTGATATCAGCAGCTACAGCAGAGATGCGGATGACGATTACTTTGTGTTCGTGACGGCACATGATGGGCAAGAGAAATCAGAAAACGTCTCCATTAGATTCACCTACAGCAAAGACTATTTTGATGAGAAAAAACATAAATATAAATGTAAGTTTTCTGAGTATAACTCAATCATATGGATATAGTAATACTGTTTATTACAGTGTTTGCAAGGCACCGTTGATGATGAAACACTATTGATATTTCTCAGACATTTTAAGACTCATTTTCTAATTATAAAACATCTGCAGTTCATTCAGCCCAAACCGTTGGTATAGTTAGCAAATCTTCCATTAAAACAGTGTTCAGCAGGTAGTGATGGCATCATTAAAGGGATAGTTCACCCAAAAAGGAAAATTCTGTCATTAATTACTCACCCACATGTTGTTCCAAACTCACAAGACCTTCGTTCATCTTCAGAACACAATTCCAATTTTTGATGGAATCTCAGAGCTGTCTGACCTCTCTGACCCTTTAATATTTGCTTAATTGGTGCTTTCCCTACTGCAGCTAGGCCTATTTAATAATTTGTTCGTTCTTATACGCCAGCATTTCATTTACCCAGAACCAAAGCCTAAAAGAATATGAACTTCACTAAATCTTTAACTCTCATTCTGCTGCCTTTACGCACTGCTGCTGTTTCCTTCAGGAAATGCAAATCTATTTGGATATTTGAATTTTAGTGTTGGAATTCATTTGCTTTAGTCTATTGCCAGATGACTTTTCTATTTCAGTTATTTCTTGTTATTTTGACTTTCTTAATGCAATATCGGCTTTTGCTTTTTTCATGAGCCGCTTTGTGATATCATAAAGCCCGGAAGCCAAACGCTGTAGTCCAAATGAGCCGTTTGCTGTAGTTCTTGAAAATGGATTTTAAAAAACGAAATATCTCCCTTTGGAGTGGACTTGGAGATTTGTGACTTTCTAGATCTTTTTTATGCCCAAACATACACACTACACACTGACTAAAATTAAAAAAGTGAAAAAGCATAATAGGACCCCTTTAAAAACAACTCAGCATTTCAGTAGCCGTTGAGCAATACTGGAAGGATTTGCTCTTCTCATGAGCTTTGAGTTTATATAATAGATTAAATAGTCTATTAAACTGAATCTGAATCTAACTTTTTTTTTTCTACAGTTCCTTCTCCAACAAACGTGAGTGTTGTTTGTCACAATTTTGTGAATGTCCTCTTCTGGAACTACAGTAACCCAACTGAACCGCTGAAATTTGGCGTAAAGGTTGAACCTTATGAAAGGTATGTGTGTGTCAAAAGCAGCTGACCAAGAAAAAAAATACAATTTGAGAAAATGTGATATTACTTAATCTTTCTGTCCCATTTATCTCTAGTGCTTCCCAAACAGTTGACACCTCTCAGACGTACCTTGATATCAGCAGCTACAGCAGAGATGCGGATGACGATTACTTTGTGTTCGTGACGGCACATGATGGGCAAGAGAAATCAGAAAACGTCTCCATTAGATTCACCTACAGCAAAGACTATTTTGATGAGAAAAAACATAAATATAAATGTAAGTTTTCTGAGTATAACTCAATCATATGGATAGAGTAATACTGTTTATTACAGTGTTTGCAAGGCACTGTTGATGATGAAACACTATTGATATTTCTCAGACATTTTAAGACTCATTTTCTAATTATAAAACATCTGCAGTTCATTCAGCCCAAACCGTTGGTATAGTTGGCAAATCTTCCATTAAAACAGTGTTCAGCAGGTAGTGATGGCATCATTAAAGGGATAGTTCACCCAAAAAGGAAAATTCTGTCATTAATTACTCACCCTCATGTTGTTCCAAACCTGCAAGACCTTCGTTCATCTTCGGAACACAAATTAAGGTATTTTTGATGGAATCTCAGAGCTGTCTGACCTCTCTGACCCTTTAATATTTGCTTAATTGGTGCTTTCCCTACTGCAGCTAGGCCTATTTAATAATTTGTTCGTTCTTATACGCCAGCATTTCATTTACCCAGAACCAAAGCCTAAAAGAAAATGAACTACACTAAATCTTTAACTCTCATTCTGCTGCCTTTACGCACTGCTGCTGTTTCCTTCAGGAAATGCAAATCTATTTGGATATTTGAATTTTAGTGTTGGAATTCATTTGCTTTAGTCTATTGCCAGATGACTTTTCTATTTCAGTTATTTCTTGTTATTTTGACTTTCTTAATGCAATATCGGCTTTTGCTTTTTTCAGGCTCTTTGGACTTTCCAGCTGTAAATACATCTGTCCACAAAGATGTGATTGAAGTGTCCTTTCAGCACCCTTTCATGCTTCATAAGCAAGACATACTGAATGAAGAATTTAAGTACATAGTCACACATGATGAGGTTGGAAAAGCAGTCGCACAGACTCCTCCATGTCCTTATTCAAATGGTAGTCATGTTTGGACGTTGAATTGTTAAAATCACTCTGTTCTTTTCTCCTTCCACAGCAAAAGGTTTTATACTCATGTTTTGAGGATGAGGAGCTGTGCACTGCAGAAATCCACCTGAACCAAAGCACAGCTGGACAGTGTGTTGAGCTGAAGCTTGAAGGGATGATTGCTGGTATTCCTTCATATACCTACAGAAACGTTTGTGTCCCTCAGCAGACACCTGAGACAGGTAAAACCATTATCAGTTTAACTGTGTTAATTTTTCGTAATGCAGTACAACTTTCTTATCATGCTATGAAGTGCAGGCACTGACACAAGCTGTGTTTGAAATCATCGGCATCCCCTTACTGACTATTCCCCATTTCTGGGAAAGTTGCATTAAATCTGGGCCCACAAGATGTTACAGCTTCATATTCTACTCCGACAGATTTTAAAATCAGATCTGGGTTAGGCTTTGTTTACCTAAATGTACAAAGTTTACTTCCTAAAATGGATACAGTGTGTATATGGATAAAGAATACCGATGCTGATGTTCTGGTAATCTCTGAAACCTGGCTTTAAAGTTCAATTACAAACCATGCCATTAATATTGAAGGATATAATGTTTTTTTAATCGATTGGCCAAAAAGAGGGGGCGGGTTAGCGATTTATTTAAAAAACAGGTATGCAACAACTCTGTTGATATCTAAATCAATATCTAACTATTTGAATTACTGCCAGTCGATGTAGTATTTTCAAAGACTTTAGCTCTTACTGTTGTGGGTTGATATAGACCTCTGTCAGCAACAAATGAATCTATTTTATCTTTAATAGATTCTCTATCTAAGTTGAATTAAGGAAATAGTATTAATTGGAGATCTTAATTGAAACTGGTTACAGCCTTTGTCTAGTGAAGTTAAACTCTTTTTTGATACTTTTAATATTCAGCAATTACTAAATACTCCAACCAGGATCAATTTAAAAAAGCCAGATAAATCATCACTTCTCGATTTAATTTTTACTAATGGACCTTATAGATATTCAGCAGCATTCGTTTGTGCACTTGATATTAGTGATCATTGTGCTGTTGCAATAGTTAGAAATGCAAAATTACCTAAGACCAAACCTCGGATAATTATAGGAGTATGTCTCAGTTTAGTGAACAAGGTTTTGTCAGGGTTCTGTCACTTCTGTCTAGTGTTATTCATGGTTTTGTGACAGAGCCCTGACACTCCCATCATGTCCTGTTTTTATGTGAGCATGCGGGTTCAAGTATTATCGAGCCGTACGCTCTCTTGTCCGCGTGCCTTGTTTCATGTTGGAGCGTGGTGTTCGGATCCCGGCACTCATGTCTTGAGTTTTGGTTTTGTGTCTGGGTCCGGACACTCGCGCTCCATGTTCTGTCTTGTTGTGGGAGCGTGTGGTCTCGAGTTTGCTCGGCCGTGCGCT